GGCAATAAAAATAAAACAGAATCCTCACAGACTGTTGGACCTGTTGGACCTGGATCCAAACCTTTCTGCTGTTCTGCACTCAGCGTTCTCCAAACACTTTTCAAACTTCATGACCCGGATTAAACCTGACGTCTCTTTTCTCCAGACTTGAGTTTCTGAATGTGACCTGGACAATAAACGATCCTTCAAATCTCCTACGAATCACCTCTGGTCTTGGTCTCAGTCCCTGTCTGGTCTCAGTCTGATCTCGATCTGGTCCCGGTCCCGGTCCCCGTCCCGGTCTGGTCTCAGTCTCGGTCTGGTCTAAACGATCCTTCAAATCTCTTCTGAAAAACGAAACAAACTCATTTTGTTTTGACCAAAATAAACCATTTGTATTTGTTTGTATTTGTATTTATATTTGAGTTTCTGCGTCTCGACTCGAGCCTCTGTCAGAACCGAGCGGCCGGTTCTGGTCACAAACCTGAACTTGTTTACAACAGAAAGTCGAGTCGTGCGTCTTTCTGCTCGTACAAGTTTCAACACAAACATTTTACAGTCGCCAATAAAACGACGTCGGTGAATATCAAGGATCTGCACCAGGGGTGGGCAAACTACGGCCCTTTACACCTTTTAATCCGGCCCGCCCAACTGGAAATGACAATAATTAACCTTGTTGATGTTTTTTTTGTCTTGCATTTCCGGTGTTTCCCAGTAGATGGGGCACTATATATACATTGAGGTACGGCATATTATGTTGGCCGCAATGCTTTATGGGAAAGTGTTCTTACAGGAGTTATTCGGACCATGAGTGAAGTAGTTGGTGCTTAAGACATAAGGCTGCACTGCTTCCATTTAAGTTGGTAAAAATCAAACATAGAAAACCTTTAGACTTTGAGTTGTAATTATCAATGTGTACAACATCATAGAGTCTGATTTTACTGAGTGTGCGAGCGCGTGTGTGTGTGCGCGCTTTGTTTTCAAGCTACTTTCAGTCAGATTTGAAAACGGTGACTTCATGATGTTCATTCACCTGTGTTGTGCAGTGGAACAGGTCTATACACTTTTATGTGTCTGAATCGTTCACGCGTCTGAAGTCCTACATAAACGTGAATAAGAATGTAATGAATCTGAGCTCTTCACACGTTATGTCCTGTCTTCTGTCCGGCCCTTCAGTCAAACTTTAGGACCCTATGTGGCCCGCGAGCCAAAACGTTTGCCCACCCCTGATCTGCACGAACTTAAATCAAAAACACAGAGACTTCGTTCAGACTTAAAGCTCAGTTTGGATTTTTTTGTGAAATCTGATTTTTTTTTCTGAGGTCGTTCACATTTCCAGTTAAATGTGACGTGTGTGTGACTCCGGTGTGAACGTTCAAGTCGCTGAATCTGTGTGTCGTTTTTCAAAATAAAACAAAAAATAAAAAACTATTTAATTTCTTCATTATTTGTCTCCGAAACCAAAATGAAAAAAATGATAATGGACTAAACCAGGACTAGACCAGGACTGAACCAGGTCTAATCCAGGACTAAACCAGGACTTACTGAACCAGGTCAGGACTAAATCCAGGACTAAACCAGGACTAAACCAGGATTAGACCAGGTCTAAATCAGGACTGAACCAGGACTAAACCAGGACTAAACCAGGTCTAAACCAGGACTGAACCAGGACTAAACCAGGACTAGACCAGGACTAGACCAGGTCTAAACCAGAACTAAAACCAGGACTAGACCAGGACTAGACCAGGTCTAAACCAGAACTAAAACCAGGACTAGACCAGGACTAAACCAGGACTGAACCAGGTCTAATCCAGGACTAAACCAGGACTAAACCAGGAGTAATCCAGGACTAAACCAGGACTAAACCAGGATTAGACCAGGTCTAAATCAGGACTGAACCAGGACTAAACCAGGACTAAACCAGGTCTAAACCAGGACTGAACCAGGAGTAGACCAGGACTAGGACTAGACCAGGTCTAAACCAGAACTAAAACCAGGACTAGACCAGGACTAGACCAGGTCTAAACCAGAACTAAAGCCAGGACTAGACCAGGACTAAACCAGGAAATGAGGACTGAGACCGGGACCAGACCAGAACAGAGACAAGGATTGAAACCAGGACCAGGATCTGGTCCAGAGTGGGACCAAACCGGGGCAAGATCAGGACTGAGACTAGGACTGGGACTGATCTAGTCCTGGTTTAGTCTTAGTTTAGTCCTGGTTTAGTCCTGGTTTGGTCTTTTTACATGTGACTTCAGTCTGAACTTTCTGGTCACTTTCATCGTCCGACTCGTCAGACTCAGAGTTTCGTCAGTGAAGGAAAAGTGAGTTTAACGAGTTTAACGAGTTTAATGAGTTTAACGAGTTCTTTCATATTTGTGGGAGGATCTGTTCGTTCATTCACACCGGGGACAGATGTGATGAAGCAGCAGCAGAAACACGTCGACAAAGTAAAAACTGGAAAACTGAAAATGTCAACAACCTCACAAAAAAATAAATAAAAAAAAAAAAAATCTGAACTGAGCATTAATCCCTGCAGTCTGAACGTAAACTAAGTGTCCTGGGTCACATTCGAAAAAAATCGGACTGTCATGAAAAGATCAGAAACAGGAGCAGAGGGACCAAAAAAAAAAAAAAAAAAAAAAAAAATCAGATTTGTATCAGTTCATTCTGCAGATCGAACGTCGTCTAACAGCTGTAAGGTCTTTGTGTCGGTGTTTAAGGCAGAACAGCAGCAGGTCCCGATGACCCCGTCCCGCTCTGAACAGCCGCAGGATCTGTGTGACTTTCCTCGACGTGTTTTTGAAGTTCACACGTTTGGATGAAGCTCTTCTCGCAGAGCGGACAGCCAAAGGGTCCCTCGGCGGCGGCGTGCGTCCTCGCGTGCTCCTCCAGGTGTCCCTTCCGCACGAACTTCCTCTCGCAGATGGGACAGCTGTAAGGCCTCTCCCCCGTGTGCGTTCGGATGTGCACGTTCAGTGCCGACCTGCACACGAACGCTTTGGTGCAGGTGGGACAGCTGTAAGGTTTCTCTCCCGTGTGAGTCCTCATGTGGACGTTGAGGGCGGAGCTCACGGCGAAGCTTTTGTCGCAGATTAAACAGCTGTAAGGTTTCTCCCCTCGGTGCCTCCTCATGTGCGAATCGCAGTTGCCCTTTTTCGTGAACTCTTTCTTACAGATGGAGCAGCTGTAAGGTTTGTCCCCCGTGTGCGTCCTCATGTGGTCGTTCAGCGCCGTCTTATGTCCGAAGGTTTTGTCGCAGACCGAGCACCTGTAAGGTCTCTCGCCCGTGTGACACCGCATGTGGACTTTGAGCGCGGAGCTGGACGTAAACGCTCGGACGCAGATTAAGCAGCTGTGCGGTTTCTCCCCCCGGTGGATCTTCATGTGCGTGTGGCGGTTCCCCTTCGTGCTAAAGGTTTTGTCGCAGACCGAACAGCTGTAAGGTTTGACGCCGGTGTGGACGCTGATGTGTATCTCGTAGCTCTCTTCGCTCGTGAAGCTCTTGAGACAAAACGGACACACAAGCTCCCCTCCTCGCTCTTCGTCGGTCCCGGACAGGGCTCCCTCTGCGCCTCCGGGCTCGTGGGATTCGCCGAAAAGACCCGAGTTGTGCGCGGCCGGACTCGCGTCTGTCCTCGGCGTTCGTTCGTTGCGCTCTCCGTGCTCCTCCGTCTCCGTGCGCGCGGCGGAAGCGGCAGCCGGAGCCTCCCAATCTTCGTCGTCGTCCGTGTCAGAGGAGCAGTCGGTTTGCGGGTCGGCGCGCGAGGGGAAGTGTCCGTGTGCGTGCGCCGGCCGCTCCTCTTCCTCTCGGGCCTCGGTTTGTCTCGGTCGGAGCAGCGAGGACGGCTCTTCGCTCTTCACACACACGGCGGTGAACTCCGGGAGCGGCTCTTCCTCCTGTTTCACGCTCGGCTCCTCTGCCTCCTCTTTAATCTGTCGACTCTCGGGGGTTTCCTCCGTCGCTCTGGACTGGTTCTGGGTCTGAACAGCTGCAGGAGAGAAGGAGGAGAAAGACGAGAATGAGAAACATTTTAGACGAGCTCAGACGACGTTTTAAGTGACGTTTGTGTGTGTGAAGAAGAGAAACTCAGGTCCAGGACTCGGGGGCCGGTCACAGAGTCTCACCCTGGACTCGTCTTCGGGCCACAGCCAAAGCCGGACGTGGTTTAGTGGTTTTGGTTTTTGCTCCCGACGACCTGAAAGTCTCCGGATCAAATCAGAGTCTGAGCTGAAACTGACGCTGTGAGAATGGACACAGGACTAAACCAGGACTAAACCAGACTAAACCAGGACTAAACCAGGACTAAACCAGGACTAAACCAGGACTAAACCAGGACTAAACCAGGTCTGAACCAGGACTGAACCAGGACTGAACCAGGTCTGAACCAGGACTGAACCAGGACTGAACCAGGTCTGAACCAGGACTGAACCAGGACTAAACCAGGTCTAAACCAGGTCTAAACCAGGTCTGAACCAGGACTGAACCAGGACTAAACCAGGTCTAAACCAGGACTGAACCAGGACTAAACCAGGTCTAAACCAGGACTAAACCAGGTCTAAACCAGGACTAAACTCAGACTATATTAGGTCTATATCTGATCTAAACCAGGAAGACTATTTTTTGTCAAAACCAGGACTAAACCAATAAAGTTCTGAGTGTTTGAGCGGCGTGAAAAGGCCAAACTGTTGTTGATGCACAGATTCCCAAAGGGGAGGGGCTCGTCACACAGACGAGACGCTCACTGTTGCCGTGGAAACGAGACGATGTCATACAACACCAGAACCAGACTTTGAGCCCCTCTACTTTAGTCTGGTCCCGGTCTCAGTCCCGGTCTCAGTCCCGGTCTCAGTCCCGGTCTCAGTCCCGGTCTCAGTCCCGGTCTCAGTCCCGGTCTCAGTCCCGGTCTTAGTCCTGCTCTGGTCTCGGTCTGGTCCAGGTCTCAGTACCGGTCTCAGTCCTGGTCCCAGTCCCGGTCCGGTCTTGCTCTGGTCTCGGTCTCAGTCCCGGTCTGGTCTCAGTCTGGTCCCGGTCTCAGTCCCAGTCCTGCTCTGGTCTCAGTCTGGTCCATGTCTCAGTATCAGTCCTGCTCTGATCTCAGTCTCACTCCCGGTCTGGTCCTGGTCTCAGTCTCAGTCCCAGTCTGGTCCGGGTCTCGGTCTTGGTCTGGTCCAGCTCTGGTACCAGTCTCGGTCTGGTCCTGGTCTCAGTCTCAGTCCCGGTCCCAGTCCCAGTCCCAGTCCCAGTCCGGTCTCGGTCTCTTCTCAGTCTGGTCCCACTCTGGTCCCAGTCTGGTCCTGGTCTCAGTCCCAGTCTGGTCGGGGTCTCAGTCTCAGTCTGGTCGGGGTCTCAGTCTCAGTCTGGTCGGGGTCTCAGTCTCAGTCCCGCTCTGGTCCGGGTCTGGTCCGGGTCTTGGTCTCAGAACCCCCACACAGAACCCCGCGCGCGGCTCCTTTAGGCCTCACGTGAGCTCGAACACACCACGTGTCCGAACCTCGCGCACGGAACAGAACCTCACCTGCGCCGAGTCCCCGGACCTGAGGCCCCAGAGCCGAGTCCTGGTCCCGCGGGTCCCTCAGGTCCTTCAGGTTCCTCTGGTTCTCCTCTCTGGAGCGGCGCAGTTCTTCTTCATATTCCGCTATCGTCGTCTCCACCAGAGCAAAGATCTCGTCCGCGGCCGCAGAGAGTCTCTCCGTGACTCGCGCCCTCAGGACCAGGACTTTAGACATTTGTCCTTTTTTTTTTTAAATTTTTCTTTTATTTCTTTTCTTTTCTGAAACACAAAGAGTCAGAAAAGCGCCGCGTTTCACCAAAACACAAAACACAAAAAACAAAACACTTTTCACTCTCCGGCTTCTTCCGGTCCCCGCACTCGCGCATGCGCACTGAGCTCCTGTGCCGCTGAAAGTTTAAAGTTTGAGTCTGAATGATTCCCGTTACCATGGAAACTCAAGGACTAAACCAGGACTAAACCAGGACTAAACAGGACTAAACCAGGACTAAACAGGACTAAACCAGGTCTAAACCAGGACTAAACAGGACTAAACCAGAACTAAACCAGGACTAAACAGGACTAAACCAGAACTAAACCAGGACTAAACAGGACTAAACCAGGTCTAAACCAGGACTAAACCAGGACTAAATCAGGTCTAAACCAGGATCCATGTTTTATAACATATAGTAAAATATTTTAAAATCAATATTTAGCATAAATATTTTTTAAAAATATTTTTTTCAGTAAATTCATGTTAATTAATTTGATTTTATTTGGGTTGATTTGCTCCTCTTCCAGTTACATGTTGTTTCGTTCATTTACAGTGTTGGGAAGTTTACTTTTAAAATGTAATCCCCTACAGATTACAGATTACTCACCCCAAAATGTAGTTTGTAACATAATCCATTAAATTACTTCAAGTGAGTAATGTAATCTGAATACTTTGGATTACTTGATATTGTCGTGTTTTTTAAAACGACATGAATGAACCAACCACATCCTGAAAATTCTTGTTTGTTCAGTTTTTACTTGACCAGATTAAAAATATTATTGACAAAGAAATTATTTATATGTGACGATTATATGATCACGATGATGTAAACACTACTGTTACTGTCGTATTGTATTAGTTTAGTCCTGGTTTAGACCTGGTTTTAGTCCTGGTTTAGTCCTGGTTTTTAGATCTGTTTTAGACCTGGTTTAGATCTGTTTTAGATCTGTTTTAGTTCTGGTTTAGTCCTGGTTTAGACCTGTTTTAGTTCTGGTTTAGTTCTGGTTTAGATCTGTTTTAGTTCTGGTTTAGTCCTGGTTTAGATCTGTTTTAGTTCTGGTTTAGTTCGTTTGTTTTAGTTCTGGTTTAGTTCTGGTTTAGATCTGTTTTAGTTCTGGTTTAGTCCTGGTTTAGATCTGTTTTAGTTCTGGTTTAGTTCTGGTTTAGATCTGTTTTAGTTCTGGTTTAGACCTGGTTTAGATCTGTTTTAGACCTGGTTTAGACCTGGTTTAGATCTGTTTTAGTTCTGGTTTAGTTCTGGTTTAGTCGAACCACAGCCCAAAGACAGTGTAGGATTTACCCCGGAGGAGATGAGGCGAATGTCTGAGGAGATCTGACGAAGCCGGACTCCTTCAGTCGAACCACAGCCTGACGAGTTGTCGAGGAGCAGGACGGGACGCAGACGTGGGCTGTCAGACACTGAAAGCCTGAACGAGCTGAGGAGATACGCCCCTCGCTCTCGACCTTCATCGCCCCAGTCCACGGACGCCCAAAGCTGTGGCAGTTCCCCCCTGGATTACGCCGCACCGATCGTCTCTGCAGACAAAATCCAACCTGTGTTTGACTCCTTCTGGGAGAACGTGCAGAGTGTGGACCTGTCGTCACAGGAGGCCAGAGACATGATGAAGAACATGTTCATGCAGATGATCATTGTTTCCTCCAAGGAAATACTGAAGGTTTTAGTGGACCATGTTACCCAAGGTGTTGAGCAGGTGTGCTTCAAGTGCTTCTTCAGGACCTCAGGAGAGACTCAGTCCATTGAGGAGGTTCTGGAGATGATGAGCAGTGAGGTGACCTCCAGAGTCAACTCGGCCATGTCCTGCATCAGTTTCCAGGAGGACAAACCAGTGGTAAAGCAGGGGCAAACCTACATCACGCCAAAAATCACGCACCACGCCATCATCAGCACGGACAGAGAATTCATGCAGTGCTGCTGTCGGCCGCGTGATCAGACACTCTCCCCTGAAGAGGAAACGTCTAATGGTCCCTCAACTTCTCAGGACACACTAAACTCACGTGTTCGCTCAACACCTCAGGACACTTTACCTTCTCCTGTTCCTGACACAGCTGAAGAGGCCACTACATCTCTGAAGGAGATGAAGAGGGAGAGGGTCCAGCAGAGTGGGCTTCAAGAGAAACTGGTTCAGAGCTGTGCACCTTGTGTCCAGCGCAAAAGGTGGAAGAAGCAGAAAGTTTCAGAGCCGAATCTGGATAAGCTCTTGTCCTGTCACCCGTGCAGTGTACAGAGGAATCAGCACACAAGTCCCCAAGGTTCTCCTGGACATTCTCAGAGTGAGTGGGAGGCAGAACATATCTGGGGCCTGACCCATGAGGTGAACAAGCGCGTCCTTCAGACCAAAGACCTGTTTGAAATGTGCTCCATGTTCATCAAACTGGTTGAGCTGCTGCAGTCAAACATGTCCGAATGGAACGTGAGGGTGAGACCTGACAGAGAGAACATCGTGGAAGTGGCGGAGGCCGTGTACAAAGACCTGTGCACAGGCTCCACAAAGAAATTAGTTAGATTCAAGGGCTTCATCAACAAGGATGAGTTTTTACAGACCACGATGGACACCATCCGGAGACACCTGGAGACGCCACAGAGGAGCAGGAGCAAACTCAGCTCCTTCTGCCGAACACTGCGCCGCATTTTCTGCAGGTCCTGTAGGGGGCGCTAGCTCCACACAGGTCCTGTAGGGGGCGCTAGCTCCACACAGGTCCTGTAGGGGGCGCTAGCTCCACACAGGTCCTGTAGGGGGCAGTAGACCGAGCCCCACAGTAAACACCGCCTGGAACATGCTCCTCTGCACCGGATGTTCTTCATCCGATGGGGAGGAGCGGAACAGAGCAGAAGTTCTTTGGTGAAGGTGTTTAATGAGAGCAAATGTCTCCTCTGCACCGGGCGACCTTCATCTGATGAAGAGGAGACGTCATGTGGAGCTGTTTTTACTTGACACAGAGCGGCGGATGTTCTCTTGTTGGAGAAAAGAACATCAGGAAGATATCAAACAAAAATGAATAAAATAAAATATTTAAAATAAATTCCTCTCTGTTTTTACCTGAAAATCATCAAGTATATTTTCATGCCTTTGTCTTTTTTGTTGTTGTTTTTATTTGACAAATATCCAATAAAAATCAAATCATGATCTGACTCCTGTGACAATATGTTGATTAGTTCTGTCCAAATGTTGTTACAAAGATAAAACAATACTCATGTGGACTTTATTATTATTATTATTTTTTTACAATTAAAGATAAAGAAAACTCCACACACAAAGTTACCCAAGGTTCAAACGTTTAGAACAAAATCAGCGTGAACAAGAGCGATTTTCAGACTTCATTTGCTTCATTTGTTGTTTTGTTTTTATGTTGATTATCGTAGTTTGTTAAATGTTATATTCTATTGTCCTTATTTAAAAAACAAAACATGTGCTTTCCCTTTTCAAATAAAGAAATAAGTGTAAACAGTGTAAGAGTCAAATGGTCAGGGATCTGCTGCTCCCACTTGGACGCGTGTTTAAAGACATGTTCTCTCTTCTCATTGGTCTGCAGATGATTGACAGATTTACTCACCCACTGGTAAAAAGAAGAAAAGACTGAGGTGAGAGAGTTTGGGGCCGACACTTCCCTCATTGATGTGGCCAGTGTCGGGGAGTAACAGATTACATGTACCAGAGTAATCAGAGTACAAATGATGAGTAACTGTATTCAGTTACAGTTACTGTTTCAGTGAGTGGTAATTGGATTACAGTTACTTTGTTGAAATAAATGGATTAAACAGAGGGATTTTCCTGGTTTCACATTTTGGGCTAAACCAGAACTAAACCAGGTCTAAACCAGGTCTAAACCAGGTCTAAACCAGGACTAAACCAGGTCTAAACCAGGTCTAAACTAGATCTAAACCAGGACTAAACCAGGACTAAATCAGGTCTAAACCAGGACTAAACCAGGACTAAATCAGGTCTAAACCAGGTCTAAACCAGGTCTAAACCAGGACTAAACCAGATCTAAACTATATCTAAACCAGGTCTAAACCAGGACTAAACCAGATCTAAACTAGATCTAAACCAGGTCTAAACCAGGTCTAAACCAGGACTAAACCAGGTCTAAACCAGGACTAAACCAGGACTAAACTAGAACTAAATCAGGTCTAAACCAGGACTAAACCAGGACTAAACCAGATCCAAACTAGATCTAAACCAGGTCTAAACCAGGACTAAACCAGGACTAAACCAGGTCTAAACCAGGACTAAACCAGGACTAAACCAGGACTAAACCAGAGACTAAATCAGGTCTAAACCAGGACTAAACCAGGACTAAACCAGGTCTAAACTAGATCTAAACCAGGTCTAAACCAGGACTAAACCAGGACTAAATCAGGTCTAAACCAGGACTAAACCAGGACTAAACAAGATCCAAACTAGATCTAAACCAGGACTAAACTAGGTCTAAACCAGGTCTAAACCAGGACTAAACCAGCTCTAAACTAGATCTAAACCAGGTCTAAACCAGGACTAAACCAGGACTAAACCAGAACTAAATCAGGTATAAACCAGGACTAAACCAGGACTAAACCAGATCCAAACCAAAACTAAACCAGGACTAAACCAGAACTAAACCAGGAGTAAACCAGATCCAAACCAAAACTAAACCAGGTCTAAACCAGGACCTCAGACCTGTCGGGACCTGCAGTTCTTCTCCGCTCCACCACGTGGCGCCACGTCCCGGCCCCGCGCGCCGCCATTACAGCCCACATCCGGAAGGACACGCGCGCTCGCGGCTCGTGCTTCGGCCTCAGTTAAAGTTTAAACATCCAGAACCTGAAAAAAAACCTCCAAAAAAAACTCCGAACATCTCCAGAAGAACCTCCAGGAAACCTCCGCGGACATGTCGAAGGCTCCGGCCCTGCGCGCCCTCGTCACGGAGAGACTCTCTGCGGCCGCGGACGAGATTTTTGCTCTGGTGGAGACGACGATAGCGGAATATGAAGAAGAACTGCGCCGCTCCAGAGAGGAGAACCAGAGGAACCAGAGGAACAAGAGGAACCAGAGGAACCAGAGGAACCCGGAGCTCCAGGGCCCGGGAGTCCGCAGCGCAGGTGGGTCCAGACTCCGGACGCTGATCCCCGAGAGGAGCGGGACCAAGACCGGACTGTTCTGGGTTTAAGGACCAGAGGGACCAGAGGGACCCGAGGGACCCGGGACAGTCCCAGTCCTGACCCCCTGTCCCCCCTGTCCCTGCAGATTTATTTAAAAAAAAAAACTGTGATTTGTCCAAGTTTTATACAAGAAATGTCCCAGTGTCTCTATTTTGATAAATCTCATCTAAACCAGGACTACATCAGGACTAAACCAGGACTAAACCAGGTCCAAACGTGGTCCAAACGTGGTCCAAACGTGGTCCAAACGTGGTCCAAACGTGGTCCAAACGTGGTCCAAACGTGGTCTAAACCAGGACTGAACCAGGACTGAACCAGGACTGAACCTGGTCTAAACCTGGTCTAAACCTGGTCTAAACCTGGTCTAAACCTGGTCTAAACCTGGTCTAAACCGTCTAAACCAGGTCTAAACTGGTCTAAACGTGGTCTAAACGTGGTCTAAACGTGGTCTAAACGTGGTCTAAACCAGGTCTAAACCAGGTCTAAAAGTGGTCTAAACCAGGTCTAAAAGTGGTCTAAACCAGGTCTAAAAGTGGTCTAAACCAGTCTAAAAATGGTCTAAACCAGGTCTAAAAGTGGTCTAAACGTGGTCTAAACCAGGTCTAAAAGTGGTCTAAACCAGGTCTAAATGTGGTCTAAATGTGGTCTAAACCAGGTCCAGACCCGGTCTTATCAGAGAATTTCTGTGTTTCAGATTAAATAAATTTTGTTGAAAATATTGACAATCAGATTCTAACTGATCCCAAAATTAGAATCAAAACTAGATCCTCATTTTTCTCATGTCTGGATCCTAAAAAAGTCCTGTTTTCAGGACAGAGCAGAACCTTTAGAACGTTTCCTGAATGTCTTTAGAACAATCTGGAGCTGGGTCAGAACAAGAGACTAGTACACACCCATGGACCTGGTTTAGACCTGGTTTAGACCGGGTTTGGACCTGGTTTAATCCTGTTTTAGACCATGTTTGGACCTGGTTTTGATCCAGTTTAGTCCTGGTTTTAGTCCTGGTTTTAGTCCTGGTTTTAGTCCTGGTTTTAGTCCTGGTTTTAGTCCTGGTTTTAGAACTGGTTTTAGACCTGGTTTTAGACCTGGTTTGATCCAGTTTAGTCCTGGTTTAGTCCTGGTTTAGACCATGTTATAGACCATGTTTGGACCGCGTTTAGACCTGGTTTAGACCTGGTTTAGACTTGGTTTAGACTTGGTTTAGACCTGGGTTTGGACCTGGGTTTAGACCTGGGTTTGGACCTGGACTAGACCTGGACTAGACCTGGACCACTGAAGGATCACACAGATATAAAGACACATGGGAATAGAAAAGAAAATTCTATGTTTTAAAAAAAAGAGCGTTTTTATTTTCATCGTGGGGTCAGAATCGGTATTTTGTGTCGAAATGTCAGGAATAACAAGTAAAGTTCTTTATTTTTGTCTTACAGGTGTACAGACGGAAGAGGTTTACGAGAGTCCCAACGAAAACTCCAACTGGTCGTCTCGCTTCACAAACTCTGTATTTACTGCTCCACAAACTCCATCAGAGGAGATCCAGACGGAGGAGGAACCGGACGAGGAGCCAGAGGATGAGGAACCAGACGAGGAACCGGACGAGGAACCAGAGGACGAGGAACCAGACGAGGAACCAGAGGACGAGGGAGGAGCCGAGGAGACTCCCGTGGACCTTCACTCCGACGCCGACGAACCGAACGAGAGCTACGACGTCACGGAGAGTCCATTCAGCTGCTCGGCCCGAGAGCTGGACGCCGAGGTCGAAGAGGAAGAGGATCCCGGGCGAACCGAGGCGAATGAGGAACCTTCGGAGCAGATCTCCGACGGCGCCGCGTCCGGACCCACGAAGCTGCGGAAGCGGAGGAGGAGGAGCGGCGCCGCGTTGAGCTCGCTGAAACGCAAGTCCAAACACCAGTGCTCCGTCTGCAGCAAAGTCCTCAAAGGTCCTCAGTTCAACCTGCTCCGACACATGGTCCTTCACACGGGAGAGAAGCCCTTCAGCTGTTCGGTGTGCGAGAAGACGTTCACGCAGCAGTATCTGTTCAAGAGACACATGGAGGCTCATCAGGAAGAGGAAGAAGAGCGGAGTCGAACGGAGCGGGCGAGGACGACGCAGACGGGAGCGCAGGAGGAGGAGGAGGAGCAGCGGCGAGAGGCGGAGTTTCACAAGACAGAACCGGAAGAAAGCAGCGTAGCTCAGCACGAGGAGACTTTCAGGTGTTCCGTTTGCGAGAAGAGGTTCAAGAGGCAGGTCGCGTTGAAGAAGCACATGGAAAGTCACGAGAAAGAGGCGGCGAGGAGACCAAGAAGAGACATGGTGATGGAGGGAGGAGACGATCACGGCGAAATGAACGAGGAAAGCGAAGCGAACGAGCAGAAGGACGAAGCTCCGGTTGTGGACGCTTTGAACGGAGAGGACTACACCCAAGCCACGCTGATGAAGAACACGCCCGTCGCCAGCCCGTCGGCGCCGGACCACCGCTGCTCCGTGTGCCACCGCGTCTTCACCACGAAAACGCGGCTCAAGAGGCACATGATCGTCCACACGGGGGACAAACCTTTCAGCTGTCCCGTCTGCAACAAGTGCTTCTCGCAGAAATACAACGTGAGGCTTCACATGGCCGTGCACACCGACGAGAAGCCGTTCACGTGCCACATCTGCCTGAAGAGCTACCGGCGCAACGACGACCTGCGCACGCACATGGCGGCGCACACGGGCCAGGTGCTATTCAGCTGCATGGTCTGCAACACGGCGTTCAAGCAGAGGAACTGTCTGGTGTCGCACATGAGGCTGCACACGGGGGACAGGCCCTACAGGTGTCCCATGTGCCCCAAGACCTTCATCCAGAAGTCCAACCTGAACCGGCACGTGCGCTCTCACACCGGGGAGAAGCCGTTCCGCTGCCCCGTCTGCCCCCAGCGCTTCGTGCAGAAGAGCGACATCCGCAAACACATGGCCATCCACACGTAGACGCCGCCGACCGGAGCCGAGCTGAACTGCAAAACCGCACAAAAACTACGTCTGTCGTTTGTGCTGATTTAGTTTTGGAGATGTTAACGATTCTTTTATAGGTCAAATTTGGGCCAGGAAGCTTCAAAATACTCAATCATTTGTGCTGTAAAAAGTTTGATTTGTGTGATTCTGGTTCTTAAAATATTAACTTTTTATTTTGGGTCGATGACGTCGTCCTAGAGCTGCTCAATTATGGAAAAAATCAATATAATGATTATTTTGGTCAATACTGAAATAACTTATTATTCAAACGATTATTTTTTAGTTACATGATGCATTTATTCAGCATTTCTCTCAAAAAAACCCCCAAAACACACACTTTGTTATTGATAATTTACGCAAAACTTTCAAATTGAAACTAAATATCGGACTAAACCAGGACTAAACCAGGACTAAATTTTGAACCTTAGAGCAGTTTTGTGATGTATAAAACACACACAAAATGATTCAAATAAACTTTGAACATGAAATTAAACATAAAAAAAAACATAAATGTGTCCAAAATAAACTTTATATCCAGCTCTTCTACAATCTCTAGATTTAAACAATTAAATAAATGTACTTATTTATATAAAAAAATATCTCAAAATAAACTTTGTTAAGGTTAAATCATTTCAACTCGATTATATGAGTTTGGAGATCGTTTGAACACACAAATCAAAATCGTGATCAGAATTCGATGAATTTATGTCGTGGTCCAGCCTCAAAACAGACAGAAAATGATACGGAATGTTTGTATTTTGTTTGTGCTGTGACAGTTTTCATTTGTGCTAGTGTATTACTAATACTAAAATGATGGGTAACACTTTATAATAACTACACATTATTTAGCCTTAATAAAGCATGAACAAAGACTTAATTAAGAATGATTCACGCTTAGTAAATGCTTAATAAAGGATAATTTGTCTTCACTTTAGAAAAGCTCTCAAAAAGACTAAACTAACAGATAACAGCTGCCTGAATGATCATTGTATTGTATTATTAGTAAATATTCTCTCATAGTTTACTAATGATTAATAAATGCTCAAATGGTTAGTTCATGAGTAATTAAGTATGAAATAATTATGAGTAACTATTTACAGCACAGGTAAATTAAGTGCAAGTGCTAATTCAGGTAGTAATTAAGTAGTTACAAAGCGTGAATCATTAAGTCTTTGTTCATGCTTTATTAAGGCTGAATAAGGTGTAGTTATTATAAAGTGTTACCAAATGATTGATTATTATTTTTGCTGAAATAATATTACGTCATTTCCGCTCAACTGATGACAACGACTTATTACGATACGATACGCTTATAACGAAGAGAAACGACCTGAGGCTGTGGAAAAGTCTGTATCAGTCTTTAGGAACGTGATTCAGATTCATATTTTATAGAATAATAGAGTTTTTCACAGGCTCAGGTCGTTTCTCTTAATAATTAATTAATCATTGCATTTATATAGAGTCTTTGCACCGTCACGTGTCCCTATAGCAACAGTACCTACGCCGCCATGACACCGGGCAACACTATGTCACTATGTCACTGACTTCAGCAGCGTTGGAGAAACATGGGCAGGTTTTGTTGTGTATTTTGTTGTTCTAGACGCTCTGAAAGGGATAAAACGATTCATTTCTTCACTCTTACTCTGGAAATGACTCATCAGGATCAAACAAGGGAAAAAAAAACGGGAATTATGTCTAGAAACATAAACCACGAAGAGATTTCCTATGGTTCCATCAAGACACACTCACGTCACTTTCATCAAGATATTTACTATTTAAATAGTTTCATAGTTTATTTAATGAGAGAAGCACATTTACTGAACTAAAATGTAAAAAGAAAACATTTGCAGTGTGAGTGTGAGTAGAAACTGTATGTTCCAGCACATATAAACATGTCACTCGTCGTAGGACCATGTTTTCTTTATTGTCTTGTTTATCCACAACTTTGTCTTCTAGAATTAATCTCTTTTTGTGAGTGGATCTTTGTAACGTCGCGAGGATCTTTTCATGGTCGATTCTTTCGAGGTTCGACTCACAGACTCTTCGACTCGTGCGTCGTGTTGATCACAGGAGCCAGTGTGGGTTCGTTGAATCATAAACTAGTGCAGGTTTTCCTCCATAAATTAATGACATTTTAGTTCAGTAAATGTGCTTCTTTCATTAAATAAACTTTGAAACAATTTAAATAGTAAATACCTTGATGAAACTTGAGGTGTCTTGATGGGACCATTGGAAATCTCTTCGTGGTTTATGTTCTCTAGACATAATCCGCGTCTTTTTTTCGATAATTCCCTTGTTTGATCCTGATGAGTCATTTCCAGAGGAACAGTGAAGAAACGATTCGTTTTATCCATTTCATTGTGTCTAGAACAACAAAATACACAACAAAACCTGCCCATGTTTCTCTGATGCTGCTGAAGTCAGTGACATAGTGTGTCTGGTGTCATGGCGGCGTAGGTATCGTTGCTGTAGGGTCACATGACGGTGCAAAACCTCTATAACGCCTTTCAGGACACTCAGACGCTTTACAGATCATTCTTCTTCTCTCCACACTCTGTGGTGTAAAATACTTCTGTAGCCACAGCTGCCCTGGGACAGACTGACAGAAGCGAGGCTGCCGATCTGCACCATCGGCCCCTCCGACCTTCACCACTCACACACTCCACTTTCTTACTGGACAATGTGGGGGAAGTGTCTGGCCTAAGGACACAACAACTGTTTTTGCGATCTTCACTGGTTTTGTGGAGTTTTGTTAAAGTCGCCGTCGTCAGTTGAACAGAAATAACCAAAATATAATTTACACAAAAATAATAATGAATAATTTTAGAAACAAACTCACTCAAATGAAACAGTCACACAAAACAACACAAACCAAATACAAATGTTTGGTTTAATTTTCTGTTGTTTTGTAATAAAACTGTTAAAAATAAAACTGTTCATATTTTAAGAACCAAAATCACACAAACTGAACTTTTTACCAGAAAAACGACTGACTTCATTTTGTGTCATTTTATTTTGAAGTTTCCTGGAGCTGCTGATTCCAGTTTGACCTGTAAAAAGAATCATGAATATTTCCCAAACTAAAACAGCACAAATGAAACTTTTTGAAGCACAAACGACAGACGCAGTTTTTGTGCAGATTTGTGTTTTATTGGGGCGACTTCACGCAGCTCCAGAGCCACATGCGGTTCTTTATTTGACTCTGATCGGTTCGTTTCAGTTCAATTAGAATCACAACATAAACTTATTTTATCATTTTCAGTCGTATCTGAACTAAAGCTGCATTGATTTTGTTTTAGACGTGTTTTTTAAATGACTTTTTTTGTTCGTCAGTTTCACTTTTTCATTTAGTCGAAACATCAATTCATCTTCAGTCTGAGCAACTCGTCAAAAAATAAAATATTCAGTTTTTTATAAAGAAATAAAATTAAATTTATTCACAGAAGGAATCAGAAAAACACAAAATGAATAAACGCTGCAGATAGACGTGTTTAAAGTCGCACTGTGGGACATTCCAGGGAAAGCTTTAACATCTCCATGGAGATGAGCAGCAGGGAAGTTGTGCAGGGAGCCTTTAAAGTTGCACTGTGGAACTTTTCTGCTGACTCCTGCTTTTCTCCACGGTGGTGATGATGTCGTCTCTGGAATGTTCCACAGTTCGGCTTTAAATGTTGGTCTGTTTTTTTTTTTTTTTTTTTTTTTTATGTTGTTTTTGGAAAAATAACAGCAACAACAAAGTTTATTGAGACACAGAACATGAAATGGTCCGTGACGCAAAGTTTTCACAAAGAATCGATTGAAACTAAAACTGTTTTTGAAACTGTAGAATTCGGGTGTTATTTGTTTTCTCGTTTTTCACAATAAAACTAAAATTAAGAAAATGGAAAAAAAAAAAAAAATTCTTCATTATTTCTCTCCAAAACCAAAATGAAAAGACTCTGGGTTCTCTCTCTCAAGTCCAAGATGAGTCCTGGTTTAATCCTGGTTTAGTCCTGATTCAGTGTTGGTTCAATCATGGTTTAGTCCTGGTTTAGTCCTGGTTCAGTCCTGGTTTAGTCCGTTTTTTCAGTTTTCAATTTTGTGTTTAAATGAAAAATGGAAAAAATGGATAACAAACTGAACCAGGCCTGAACCGGTCTCAGTCCTGATCTTCTGCTGGTCTGGTCCTGGTCTGGTCCCAGTCTCAGTCCCGGTCCTGGTCTCTGTTGTTATCCATTTTTTCCATTTTTCATTTAAACACAAAATTGAAAACTGAAAAAAAAACAACTAATTATCTGTTTTTTCATTTTGGTTTTGGAGACAAATAATAAAGAAAATAGTTTAGTTTTTTTCATTTTCTTATTTTTTATTTTATTTTGAAAAACAAATGAATAAACGAGTGACACAGATTCCTTCGTCCAGATGAAACTTTCTCTTCACTGTTTCTGCTCCTGGACGAATGAAGAATCTCATGTTTTATTTTGTTGTTGTTCGTTTCTTGGACAAAGTTGGACCTTTCGTAAAAACTTTAATTTTTTTTTTTTTTTTTTTTTTTTAAAGCTGCCGTCTGTGATTATTTTGGACGACCCAGAGGACCAGACAGCAGCTTTAAATGAACTATTATTTTGTGTTTTCTGTTTTATAATGTTTGTGTTTTTGTTCTAATTCTTGTGGTTTGGACATTTTTAGACTCTGAGTTTCATTTTCTGTTTTTTCCCAGAACATTTTCAAACTAAATGTGTTTTTTTTTTGTTCATGTAAAAGTGTAAAAGTTTACATTTCACATTTCTGAACTCAGCGCGTGTGGAGGAAGAAGAAAACTTTCAGGAATATTTGTGTGCACAGAAGAGAAATCTGAGCATATTTTCTGTAGCTGAGCATAAAATAAATATTGTTTAACTCTGGAATGAAATCTGGTTTGTTCCTGGTTTAGTCCTGGTTTAGACCTGGTTTAGTCTATGTTTAGACCTGGTTTAGACCTGGTTCAGACCTGGTTTAGTCCTGGTTTAGACCTGGTTCAGACCTGGTTTAGTCCTGGTTCAGGCCTGGTTTAGTCTTGGTTTTAGTCCTGGTTTAGTCCTGGTTTAGACCTGGTTTAATCCTGATTCAGTCCGTTATCCTTTTTCTTTTTCAATTAATTTATTCATTTTATTTTTCAGTTTTCAACTGAAAAACACACACACACACACACACAAACCCGAATCATGATCTGGTTTTATTTTTAATTTTTTTTAAATTTTAGTTTTGGAGACAAATAATGAAGATTTTTGTTGCTTTTTTCGTTATTTTTGGTTTTATTTTGAAAAATGAACGAACGACACACGGATTTAAACCTTTACCGTTTAAGTTCGCTCGTCAGTGAATCATTTTAAATTAATTATTTCATCTTAATTTTGCCTCCACTCCAGAATTTTGAACATAGATACAAGATTTAAAACTGTTTATAAAAAAATAAATTAATACATTTTTATTTTAGATCCGTGTTTTTACGACGGTGGGCGGGGCTTAAAGCGGAAGTGACGGCGGAAGTGGGTCTCAGCTGTGCGGCGTTAGCTCGGGGCTAAAGCTAAAGCTAAAAACAGTTTGTAAAATGTGTCCGAAGTCCGAGGTTCTGAAGGTTCTGAAGGTTCTGGTGTCGGAGCGACTCTCTGCGACCGCGGAGCAAATCTGCGCGCTGCTCGAGAGAACCTTAGAGGAATATGAAGAAGAACTGCGCCGCTGCAAAGAAGAAAACCAACGGAACCAGCGGCTCCTGGACGCGGCTCTGCGGGGCCCGAGCGGCGCCGCGGCGGGTGAGTCCGGCTCAGGTCCAACTCAGGTCCAGGTCCGGGTCCAGATCAGGTCCAGATCAGGTCCAGGTCCAAGTCCGGATCAGGTCCGTGTCCAGATCAGGTCTAGGTCCGGCTCAGGTCCAGTTCCAGGTCCGGGTCCGGCTCAGGTCCAGATCAGGTCCGGCTCAAGTCCAGGTCCAGTTCAGGTCCAGATCCAGGTCCGGTTCAGGTCCAGGTCCGGCTCGGGTCCCGGTCTAGGTTTGGCTCAGGTCCCGGTTCAGATCAGGTCCAGATCAGGTCCAGATCAGGTCCAGATCAGGTCCAGGTCCAGGTCCGGTTTAGTCCAAACTCTGTGGACTTGATCTTTACTCGGTCTGTGGGTCACACGCTTCGTGTCCTGGTTCTGTGGGTGTGTTTTTGGTTCTGGAGCAGGTTCTGGGGCAGATTCTGGAGCAGGTTCTGGAGCAGGTTCTGGAGCAGGTTCTGGAGCAGGTTCTGGGGCAGGTTCTGGAGCAAGTTCTGGGTCTGTACTGGATCAATAACAGAACTTTTTAAAGGAGAAATTATTTAATCTTAATCTAAAAGTGAAACTCAAAATCTCTTTAAATTCGGCGTGAACAGATTTTTAAATTTCTAAACTGGGACACAGTCGAGTTATGATGTTTTGGTTTAAATAAAATTGTGAAAAAGTGAAACACTGTGGATCCTGGACTCACGTGTGGATCAGGGTTTAATCTGAGACTAAACACAGAAGAACAGGTTTATGGATTTTGTTTAAACAAATAAAATTTATGCTCCTCTGGTTTAGACCTGGTTTAGAACTGATATAATCATATTTTAGTCCAAGTTTAGTCCTGGTTGAGTCCTGGTTCGGTCCTGATATAGTCCTGGTTTAGACCTGGTTTCATCCTGAAATAGACCAGAAGTAGACCTGATATAGTCTTGGTTTAGTTCTAGTTTAGTCCTGGTTTAGACCAGAAATAGACCTGAAATAGACCAGATGTAGACCTGATATAGTCTTGGTTTTGCCCTACTTTAGATCCAGTTTAGACCAGAAATAGCCTTATATATAGTCCTGGTTTAGTTCTAGTTTAGTCCTAGTTTAGACCAGATATAGTTTGATTTTGGCCCCAGTTTAGACCTAAAATAGTCCTGATATAGTTCTGATATAGTCTTGGTTTAGCCCTAGTTAAGACCTGGTTTATTTCTGGTTTAATCCTGGTTTAGATCAGATCTAGACCTAATATAGTCTGAGTTTAGACCTGCTTTAGACCATCAATAGTCCTGGTTTAGTCCTGGTTTAGTCCTGGTTTAGTCCTGGTTTAGTCCTGGTTTAGACCTGGTTTAGACCTGGTTTAGACCTGGTTTAGACCCGTCTCCTCCACATTCTCACAGTGTCAGTTTCAGCTCAGACTCTGATTTGATCCGGAAACATTCAGGTCGTCGGGAGCCAAAACCACTAAACCACGTCCGGCTTTGGCTGTGGCCCGAAGACGAGTCCAGGGTGAGACTCTGTGACTGGCCCCCGAGTCCTGGACCTGAGTTTCTCTTCTTCACACACACAAACGTCACTTAAAACGTCATCTGAGCTCGTCTAAAATGTTTCTCATTCTCGTCTTTCTCCTCCTCTCCTGCAGCTGTTCAGACCCAGAACCAGTCCAGAGCGACGGAGGAAACCCCCGAGAGTCGACAGATTAAAGAGGAGGCAGAGGAGCCGAGCGTGAAACAGGAGGAAGAGCCGCTCCCGGAGTTCACCGCCGTGTGTGTGAAGAGCGAAGAGCCGTCCTCGCTGCTCCGACCGAGACAAACCGAGGCCCGAGAGGAAGAGGAGCAGCCGGCGCGCGCACACGGACACTTCCCCTCGCGCGCTGATCCGCAAACCGACTGCTCCTCTGACACGGACGACGATGAAGACTGGGAGGCTCCGGCCGCCGCTTCCACCGCGCGCACAGAGACGGAGGAGCACGGAGAGCGCAACGAACGAACGCCGAGGACAGACGCGAGTCCGGCCGCGCACAACTCGGGTCTTTTCGGCAAATCCAAGTGCGGAGCGGAGCCTGGGACGGCGGGAGCGGGAGGAGGAGTGGAGCGGAAATATGAGTGTTTTGTTTGTAAGAAGAGATTCGCGTCGAAACTACATTTAACGATCCACATCAGGGTTCACACGGGAGAGAAACCTTACAGCTGTTCGGTGTGTATGAAAACATTTGCCCAGAAGGGAAACCTCACGGCGCACATGAAAACTCACACCGGAGAAAAACCTTACAGCTGTTCCATCTGCGAGAAGTCTTTTGCCCGGATGTCGATGCTCAACCGACACATCCAGGTCCACACTGGAGATAAACCTTACAGCTGTTCGGTGTGTAAAAAGGCCTTTTCGCAGAAGTTCGACATGGACGTGCACGTGAGGTCCCACAGCAGCGAGCACTTTTACACGGGGCTGGGAGGGGGCGGGGCCTCGTGGTTCGGGGGTGTGGCCTCAGTCCAGACTGAACCGATGGAGTGTGTGGAAATGCCCCCGCCCACACTGTGACGCGACTGTGGGTTTGGAGTCAACTCTGTCTGCTGTAGAACACTTCGAAACATTAAACAAACCTTGTGGCCCCGTCACACTTCGGCGATTTATCCAGCGTGTGCCGACGTGTGACAAATCTGGCAAATACGCTGGTGTACGTCGGATAAGTTATAGATGAGTTTTCAGGGCAGCTGCGAGGTCTTAAAAGTCTTTAAAAGAATCCGTGTGTCGTTCGTTCATTTGTTTTTCAATATAAAACCAAAAATAAGAAAAAAAAAACAAAATGAAAAAATGGATAATGATTCTTTTTTTCAGTTTTCGATTTTGTGTTTAAATGAAAAATGGAAAAAACGGAGAACGACCGTTTCCTGTTTACGTGACGTCCGTGACTATGATGTCGGACTTTTGCACCACATACAGACTGAACCAGGACTGATCCAGGTCCAGACCGGGACCAGACCGGGACTGAGACCAAGACCAGGCCGGGACGAGACCAGGACCAGACTGAGACTGAGACCAGACCGGGACCAGGCCAGAGGCTCAGAGCCCACAGCAGGGCCGGAGCTCGAAGCTGAGGCTTGTGGACCCCGCGAAGGCTTGGAGTCAAAGCTTGGAGTCTGCTCTGGTCCCGCTCTGGTCCTGGTCTGGTTCCGGACCTGGATCAGTCCTGGTTCAGTCCGGCATCACAGTCACTGAAGTCACGTAAACTGGAAACGACCGTTCTCCGTTTTTTCCATTTTTCATTTAAACACAAAATCAAAAACTGAAAAACCAAATCATTATCTGTTTTTTCATTTTAGTTTTGGAGACAAATAATGAAGAAAACTGTTTTTTTTAATCATTTTCTTCTTTTTGGTTTTATATTGAAAAACAAATGAACGAACGACATGGATTAAAAAGGTCTTAAATTTCATGTTCTTTAATTAAGGCCTTAAAAAGTCTTAAATTCTGTTGTCCAAGTCTGATTTTTTTCACAAAGGTCTTAAATTTCATTAGCCTATTTTTTTGTTTACTAAACCGGGCTGTGGTGTGATGTTTAACGAAGAGAAGAAAAAAAACAACAACGTGAAATAACGTAAACTGAATGAACGTCTAATTTGGAGTTTGCACAAACAGTATTTAGGTTTTTGGCAACGAGTAAAAACAATCAATTCCATCTGCAGTCTCAACGTTCTTAATAAGTTACTAATACATTACTTTCACACCCAAAATTGAAAAAAAACCCCAAAAAACATCGATGTGTGTGCCAGCGTTTTAGGGAAAGTTTGTTACGTTGACTTATGTTGGCGAAATCGTCGAGGTGTGACGGGACTTTTACAGGTGTCCAGGTTTAACCACAGCTCTTTGTCTGGTTTTGTTTCATTGTGTTTGTTCATAAAGGCTCAAACTAAAACCTGTCATTGACACTTTTACTGAATTTGTCCCAGATGAAGCTGCAGAGATTCAGCTCGAGGAGATTTACAAACGAAACTGTTTTTTCCATTAAAAATACAAAATGTTTCTCCAAAAATGTTTGTGTGTCACAGTTAATGCCCCAGAAAAGTCACAAATGTCCTTTTTTAAATCAATCCTACTTTGTCTGCCTTTTCTCTGGGCGTCTTTTCGAGTTTACTCCATGACTAAATTAGCTGACAATTATCTCAATAATCAATCAGTTGTTATTAATCAAATAACTTGTTTCAGCCCCTTTCTGTTTGTGTTTGTGTGAGGAAATCTGACGCTCGGTGTAAACGGACTGCAGGTGCGGTTCAGTTTGTACAGTGACCGGAAAATGCAAAACACTTTTACATTTCAAAACAAGTTTGAAAACAAAATTACATTTAAAATACACATTTACATCTTGGTCCAGTCAAGTGTTAACGGAGGAAACAGGGTCAGATTTTTGACATTCAAATGTCTCTTATTCAGAAACTAGAGGAACTATTGAAATAAGTAAAGTATCAGAATGTAGGAAAGAGTTACACTCCAACAGGGTCAAGTTAAACCTGTGAGATTCTTTCAAGTTCAAGACAAAAAAATAAAAAAACTCATGTCGGTAACGGAGGGAATGAAATATGCAGCACTTTTTGGTCAATAAATCCAAACAGTGATAACTCTTGGTTCTCACTTACATATCCTTAACAAACTGGTTTGAATATTTGCTTCATATAGTTTTCTACCATATGGTACAAGATTAGGTTGAAAAACCTCTGACTTTTTGACTCATGAGATTTTTTATTAAGAAAGTTCATGGTAACGGAGGGAAAAGTAACGGAGGGAAAACTGTACAAACAAGTAGAAGGTGCAGGATTTTACATCATTTGTCACTTTTTTCTTCTGAATACTTTAATATTACTTCATTTCTATAAAATATGTCAGTCCTTCCAAGAACATTTTTATCATTGTAAATACTTTTCTTTTTTTAAAAATCCTGTCCCTTCATCAACAGTTCAAAGATGGAATAACACAAGATATGATGAAATACAAACATTTATTTACATGATTTGCAGGTCTGTGAAATTTGGGAAATAATTTTTGTTCCATGTTTCATTCATGGTCTGTTTAAAATGGATGGAACTTTAGAACCAAAAATGGAACAGAAAAAAGGTCAACAGTTTGATAAACTAGAGTACATATGTATCTGTTCAATACTGTTTTATATCAGATGAATTAACTTGAGTTTTTGGCCTTGTTGTTTACTTCTGTTTGACTGGGCCCATCTCGAAAACAAATTCCAAGTTTCATAAAACACATTTGCAAACAAGCAAAAAACCGAGACAAATTTACAAAAACATAAATACAAACTCCCGAAACAAATGAAAAGATCTTGACGGGAAGAGAATGTCCTAAAAAGTGACAAACGACCAGAGCGTGAGGTGTTTACTCTGCGAGAGGAGCTTTGTCAAGAAGTGTGATCTGAAAAGACACATAGAAGAGGAACCTTACAGCTGCTCAGACCCTAAGAGAACAAAAACCCCGGAATGTTCTCCAGACACGAGGGTTCTCTCTAGAGAGGAACCTTACAGCTGTTCAGTCTGCGGGAAAGTCCTTTGTCCATTCGTTGTGTGAACTTAAAGCACACGTTTAAATACACAGAGCAACGTAAAGGGCCCGTATTCTGTTCCACCTCGTGATGTCATCGTGTGGTGATGTACAGGAAGTGCTCCACTGTGTTTTTAAACTCCGCACACCTTCAGTAGAATCATTTGGATCTTTTTTTCAGTCCTGGAGTTGCCGATCTCGACTGAACTAAAAGTAAAAGAGAAGCTGTTCAAAGTGTTGAAAACTACCACTTCATGACATCACAGGGTGGAACAGAGCGTTTTGTAGTGCTGTAGTCAAGGCGGAACTAATCGAGACCAAGACCAGTCCGAGACCACAGGGTTCCGAGGCCAGGACAAGACCAAGGACTCTGAGAATCGAGACCAAGACAAAATCAAGACCAAATCAAGACCGTCTTTGTCATTTTCTACATTTGTTTGAGTTATTTTGGTACAAATATATCAATGTTTTTATAAATTTATCTCCTTTTTTTCCATCACTCGTCAAGTGTCAGACCTTGAGAACAAGACAAAACCAAATTCAAGCGCGGTCGAGTCTGAGACGAGACCAAGACTGTAAAAAAGCAAGACCGGTCTCGAGTTCTATGACACGTTTTGGGTTTTGTAGATGTAAACAGACGAATAATAATAAAGAATTACTCAAACATGTGAATGAAACAAAACCAAAATCCAAATCCACAGCACATTTTATGAACAGATCAGAAAATGAAGACAACAAAAAGGTAAAAATGGTTCAAATTTGGTCACACAAGTCCTAAAACAATAAAATCAAATAAAAACAAAACCACAAAAATCATAAACCAGCAGTAAATAAATAAAAGACACAGAGAAGAACTCGACTCACGCTGGATTAAAAGCCACAAAGTAAAAGAATAAAAGAAGAGAAGGAAACAAAACACGACTGCAGCTCTGTTTTTGAGGAGGGAACGACGTTAGAACACGACTTAAATCTCACACGAGTCGATTTTGAGGATTTGATGTTGATGAAAGTAAAATCAGAAATGCTCCAGAACCGTCGACTCTACGACCAGAACACCGGAAACGACTCGATTTTTGTTCAAAACTTTAAGATAAAAAAACAGATCAAGTGTTTCATTGATTAAAAAGAGTCGAGAATGGACAAAGTTTTGCTCTTTTTAAGGTTAAATTCAAACCAAACTTCTCAGCTCGGCGTGTTTCAGGTTTTAATTTTGTAAAATTTGTCCGACTGTGGAAGATTCCGGAGAAAACAGGAGCAGGGATCAGATACAAAAACACAAAACAAAGAGGAAAACTGAAATAAAACTCATGATTCATTAAAACTCAATGTTCTGTCCACGCGGGGGCGCTGTGTGCACGAGCTCCGTCAAAACGGAAGCACACGGAGCCGCGCCACGTGACCATGATCACATGACGCTGGGCTGCGGGATTCTGGGGGGTGACTCCGGTGCGCGGCGCAAAGGCACAAAGGCAGAGCTCAGTGACGATGAACGCGGAGCCGGAGCGCGCGGAGGAGCCGGATCTCGAGGAGGAGCCGGGTACGTGCGTCACGCGGCTTTACGCGCGTCAGAGCGTTTGTGCCGCGAGCTCGAGCGTGACACGTGAAGCTTTAAAGGGTGAGGCTCGTGCGGGCGCGTGCGTGAGTCTGAGGTTCGTGCGTGAGTCTCGTGAGTCTGAGGTTCATGTGGTAAACGACGCGCGTGACATTGGTGTTTTCTTTCATCCTGCGGTGTCTCCGTGTGCACGCGCTCTTACGCACAAACAGCTCCAGATTTCACTCCCTGAGCCGCAGACGCTGCACTAGCACTGACCCAGGATCAGCTGCAGGTGCTGCAGCAGGTGTTTCAAACTCATTTTGTTCCGGGGGTCGTGTCCAACCGACTTTGATCCAAAGTGTCCGAATCAGAAAACTCATGTCATATAAACCCCAAAAATAACAATAAGTTCAAATATTTGTGCAGAGAAACACAAATCTATTACACAAATCTTTTTGAATTGATGAACTCTTTCTTTTACAAAATATTATAATATTATGAACAACCTGAAACTTTAAGAAAAATACAATTTCAACACAAAGTTTGAACATGAACTTGTTTGTAAACAGGAATAAGTACATTTTTGTTGTAAAATCCTGCACTCGGCTCCACTTTTCTCATGTTGGACATTTTTCTGATGAGGGTGTCACGGTCAACAGTCAAAACGATCGTCCTTTAAGAGCGTTTGGAAAGAGACAAGTCTTCATTTGTGCTGCTCTGGTGGGAGGGGCCACGTACAGAGACGCTGGAGACGCTGCTGTGATAAACACCACAGAAAATTAACAACATTTTAATAGAAAATATCATTAAAATATTTTAGTAGAAAATCAACCGAGGGCCAGATTAAAGGTCTTGGAGGGCTGGATCTGGCCCCTGGGCCGCATGTTTGACACCTGTGGTTTAAACATTAAATATCATGTCTTTGTAGTTTATTCAGGTCAGTATAGGTTGAAAAGGATTTGTAAATCATGGTATTCTGTATTTTTTTTTTAAGTTTTATGGAGCGTCCCAACTTCACTGGAATTGGGGTTGTAGTTTCCTTCACAAGTTCAGCTCTTTGTGGAATTTCTATTTCTGAAGTGAAACCTGAGACAGTCTGAGGATCTAACGTGTGTTCCTTCTCTTCTCTCCTGCAGCTGTTCAGACCCAGACCCAGTCCAGAGCGAAGGAGGAAACCCCCGAGAGTCGACAGATTAAAGAGGAGGCAGAGGAGCCGAGCGTGAAACAGGAGGAAGAGCCGCTCCCGGAGTTCACCGCCGTGTGTGTGAAGAGCGAAGAGCCGTCCTCGCTGCTCCGACCGAGACAAACCGAGGCCCGAGAGGAAGAGGAGCGGCCGACGCGCGCACACGGACACTTCCCCTCGCGCGCCGACCCGCAAACCGACTGCTCCTCTGATACGGACGACGACGAAGACTGGGAGGCTCCGGCCGCCGCTTCCACCGCGCGCACGGAGACGGAGGAGCACGGAGAGCGCGACGAACGAACGCCGAGGACAGACGCGAGTCCGGCCGAGCGCGAAACCAACCCAAAAGAATGTCCCTTCTGCAGAAAGAAATGCAGAACCAAACAGGATCTGCTAAGACACACGAGAGTTCACTCTGGAGAGAAACCTTACAGCTGTGCAGTCTGTAACAAAACTTTTACGCTCAAATTCAACCTCAAAGTTCACATGAGAATTCACACGGACGAGAAACCTTTCAGCTGTTCGGAGTGCGGCGCGAAGTTCACTCAGAAACATCGTCTTACGGAGCACATCAGGACGCACACGGGCGAGAAACCTTACAGCTGCCCAGTCTGTAACCGCGGCTTTTCCCGAAATGGCAAACTCAACGAGCACGTGCGCACTCACAGCACGGACAAACCCTTCAGCTGTACAGTCTGCCACAAGGGATTCCGGCAGAAGGATTACCTCAAAGATCACATGAGAATACACACGGGTGAGAGACCATTCAGCTGTTCGGAGTGCCACGCGGAGTTCAGATACCAGAGCAACCTCAAGTATCACTTAAAAATCCACGCGAAGGAAAACACCTAGACACTAGACAAGAAAATGTGTTTTTAATTCACTTTTTCATCTCTGAACGCCGCGTTAAAGACGAAATATTCTGATAAATCAACTTTTGGAGCAGTTCACGCCCCAAAAAAGTGTAACATTCTCTCTGTAAATGTTTCAAATCAACAAAAATAAAACTCATTAGGTTCTTTTTTCCGACTCTGGGTTTGAAAAAAGAACCGTACAACATTAATTATCATGACTAAAAATAAAACTCTTCTCCCGTAAAACACAGAAACTTTCTGAGGCTCAAGAGTGAAAAACTACTCGAGTAAATGTACTGTGATTTTAAATATGACTCATGTGTTGGTAAAAGAGTGATCAAGTGTTTTTTTTTATTGTGAATGTATTAAAACAAACATTAAACGATGTGATCATTTCGTTTTCTGTTCAAACTTTAACTCGAGGAGAACGAGCTGTTTTTACTTTAATCACACTCGTCTCGTCTTCGTTACGAACTTTAAACACTTTTAAATAAATCTCACTGAAGTCACATAAAAGAAAAGGTTTATAACTGTGAGCACCGAGTTTCCGATCGACTTTGTGCGCATCGTTTTCTCCAGCGGCTTCATAAATCTGCCTCATCACTGAATCTTCAACCGACAAGAAGAATTTATCCAAAACTGTCAAGAGAAGAAAGAACAAAACTTAAAGGAAACGTCGAGACACTTTAGTCACACAACAAACTCAACTCATGAAGAAAACAGAAGGAATTTGGACTCGACGTCTCCAGGATCAGAACATGAGTTGAGTTTGTTGTGTGACTAAAGTATCTCGTCATTGTTTGTGTTGAAGTTTTGTTCTTTCTTTTCTTGATTGTTGTGGATAAATTGTTCATGAAGAATGTTTCTGCTTGGACCTGTGGAGCTGAAACAGAAGCTCCTCAGCAGATTCTGTAAAGTATAAAACACTGTGATCTACTGCTCGTACTACTCTTTTACTACAATATTACTACTTTATTACTACACTTTAGTATTTATGATCAAAAACTGTTGAGGGGTTGAAACAGGTTCAGGTCTGACGCCCACAAACTGAAAGGTTTTGGGTTCAGTTCCTGCTGCTGTTGATGTTTAGCAGAAGTTTACACGACTGTGATGTGTGAGGGAGGAGAAGAAGAGAAGGAGGAGGAGGAGGAGGAGAGGAGGAAGAGGAGGAGAAAGAGAGAGAGGAGGAGGAGAGGAAGAGGAGGAGAAGGAGAGGAAGAGAAGGAGAAGAGGAGAAGGAGAGGAGGAGAGGAAGAGGAGGAGGAGAGGAGGAGAAGAGGAGGAGAAGAAGAGGAGAGGAGAAAGAGGAGGAGGAGATGAAGAGGAGGAGGAGGAGAGGAAGAGGAAGAAGAGGAGAGGAAGAGGAGAAGATGAGGAGGAGAGGAAGAGGAAGAAGAGGAGAGGAAGAGGAGAAGAGGAGGAGGAGGAGGAAGAGGAGAGGAGGAAGAGGAGGAGGAGGAAAGAGGAGGAGGAGAGGAAGAAGAGGAAGAGGAGGAGGAGAAGAGGAGGAGAGGAAGAAGAGGAGGAGGAAGAGAGGAGGAGAAGTGGAGGAGAGGAAGAAGAGGAGGAGGAAGAGAGGAGGAGAAGTGGAGGAGGAGAGGAGGAGGCAGAGGAGGAGGAAGAGGAGGAGAAGAGGAGGAGAAGAAGTGGAGATGATGGAGATGATCGTGGAGGAGATGATGGTGACTAAAGGCGCAGACTGACAGCCTCTGTAGTGTCCGTCTGTCCCGGGGCAGCTGTGGCTCTGTGTGGAGAGTCGTGTGATTCTTCTTGTGTCTGTTTGAGTCTTTTTAGTCTCTGTGTCTGTGTTTTGTGTCACATGTGTCCAGGTTCTTCTTCTGCTCTTTGTGTTTTTATATTAAATGTTTTTAATTAATATATTAAATTAAACGTGTTTTCAGTGTCGGAGTCGTGACTCGGGTCCAAACTGAAGTTCACACGGACGAATTAAACTCACAGACGAAACAGCCGAGGCCAAAACGTCTAAATAAATGATCCACAGTGACGTTTCGCCGCTGCGTCTGAATCCACGTTCAGTTTTAAGGAGTTTTTTACATTTAAGTAAAACGTGAAACTTCTAATGTTTAAAAAAATTATAAAAAGATTACTATGTATTTATGTTAATTAAACCAGGACTAAACAAGGACTAAACCAGGACTAAACACGGACTAAACCAGGACTAAACACGGACTAAACCAGAACTATATCAGGACTAAACCAGGACTAAACAAGGACTAAACAAGGACTAAACCAGGACTAAACCAGGACTAAACAAGGACTAAACCAGGACTAAACCAGGACTAAACAAGGACTAAACCAGGACTAAACCAGGACTAAACAAGGACTAAACCAGGACTAAACAAGGACTAAACCAGGACTAAACACTGGACTAAACCAGGACTAAACCAGGACTAAACAAGGACTAAACCAGGACTAAACACGGACTAAACCAGGACTAAACCAGGACTAAACCAGGACTAAACAAGGACTAAACCAGGACTAAACCAGGACTAAACAGGACTAAACCAGGACTAAACCAGGACTAAACAAGGACTAAACCAGGACTAAACATGGACTAAACCAGGACTAAACCAGGACTAAACAAGGACTAAACCAGGACTAAACAAGGACTAAACCAGGACTAAACCAGGACTAAACCAGGACTAAACCAGGACTAAACAGGAAACAGGACTAAACACGGACTAAACCAGGACTAAACCAGGATTAAACAAGGACTAAACCAGGACTAAACAAGGACTAAACCAGGACTAAACAAGGACTAAACCAGAACTAAACCAGGACTAAACAAGGACTAAACCAGGACTAAACCAGGATTAAACAAAGACTAAACCAGGACTAAACCAAGGACTAAACCAGGACTAAACAAGGACTAAACCAGGACTAAACACGGACTAAACCAGGACTAAACCAGGACTAAACAAGGACTAAACCAGGACTAAACAAGGACTAAACCAGGACTATACCAGGACTAAACCAGGTCTAAACCAGGACTAAACCAGGACTACATCAGGTCTAAACCAGGACTAAACCAGGACTAAACCAGGTCTAAACCAGGACCATCACAGTTTTGACTAATCTGACCCTGCCAACAGTGAACAGGAGCATAAATTGTCATTTGTTTTGCCAAAATACACAAATCTGTGTTTGTGAATGAACATAAAAAAACAGCATCAGAAGTTCCTCAGATCACGACTGACACGAGAATCCACAACGTCACTCGCTCTTTTCACTATTTTATTTACACCGAACATCCAAACCTGCGTGTGTCCCAGTTTAAAATCTTGACAATCTGGTCACTCTTAAGTTTGAAATGTTTAAAAAATACAAAGGTGAAATGTTGTTCAGCCTCCAGACCAACAGGAGGCGCAGATCTTTCAGCTGTTCAGTCTCAACGAGCCAAACGCAGAAGAAAAGAAGGGGACGTGTTTTTGTTTTTAGCCCCGCGCTAAAGATGAAGAACCAAAGCTGAAACGTGAGTGGAGTTTGTTATAAAATGTGTGAGAAGAGGCGCAGACTCAGAGCTCTGGTCACGGAGAGACTCTCTGCGGCCGCGGACGAGATCTGTGCTCTGCCGGAGACGACGATAGCGGAATATGAAGAAGAACTGCGCCGGTCCAGAGAGGAGAACCAGAGGAACCAAAGGAACCAAAGGAACCAGAGGAACCAGAGGAACCAGCAGCTCCTGGACTCGACTCTGAGCTGCTCCACAGGTTTGTCATTTTACTCCCTAAAAACTTCAGTTACACCCGAAATGTTCCAGAATTTTTGTTTTACAAGAGACATTTTACGCACGAGTGTTGGACTTTCTTCTGGGGTTTTACTTTCACACACCAGACCAGACCCTGTGTCTAAACCAGGACTAAACCAGGACTAAACCAGGACTAAACCAGGTCCAAACCAGGTCTAAACCAGGTCTAAACCAGGTCTAAACCAGGTCTAAACCAGGACTAAACCAGGTCTAAACCAGGTCTAAACCAGGACTAAACCAGGACTACATCAGGACTAAACTAAGACTAAACCAGGACTGTCATATTTTTTTAATAATCCGATCATCGCCAACAGTTAAGAGAAACATAAATTGTTTTAAATTTAAATAAATAATTTATTTATTTATTTATTTATTTATTGCCAAAATACAGAAAATTTACAGAAATTTTATTTATACCAAACATCCAAACCTCAGTGTGTCCCAGTTTTTTATTTTGATCATCTGGTTATTTTAAACAGTTAAAGTCACTGCTGTAAAACGTCCCACAGTTTTATACAACAAATGTCCCAGTGTCTCTATTTTTGACCAATCTGATCGTGCAACAGTAAAGAGAAACATAAACTGACTTTTGTTTTGGTAAAATACATAAAAAAATAAAATAAAAAAAAAGACACAAAACACAAGTAAATGTACTAATTCATCGAGTGAATAACAGTTTTACCTGTTTCAGTATTTTATTATCACAACCACCATAAAACCACTAGTTTTAAAATTTTTAAAAATCTGGTCTCTTTAGTCACACGGTTGAGTTCTAGTTGGTTCCATAGTTCCACATTCACAGAGCAAAATTTTCAAAAACTTTATTTTCAGATTTCCAGAGGCGACAGTGTAACCCAGGTATTTTCTGTGCTGTCCCTCTCTACCTAATAATTTGGCCGCTGTCGTTCGCAACTATCGCGAGACGTTGCGCACATAACGCGAGACTAATTGCGCCAAGATCTTTAAATATGGCCGCGCGCGCTCCCATTCATTCGTGTGTTGTGTCGGTCCCGGGTGTGACTGAGCGGCTGCAGGTAGGCGATTATTGCTTTTAAAAACTCACTGTTTCGCTCAAAGTATATTAAAGTAACTTATATGCCATCAACTTCCCCAGATGCCTCTTACCTTCTCGACGAAGTGCTGTCGTGATCGTTTGAGCGTAAACTAAGTGGAACTGGTGAGTTGAGTTTGTTTGTTGCCTTGCGGAGCTAATGCTAAGCTAATGCTAATGCTAGCGCTCTGATTCAATACGGACCTGTGAGCTGGTGCCGGCGCTAGTCTCACTTGTTCGCATCTATTTATTGACTGACTACTGATATTGACAACAAATAATGATTGATATATGACAAGTTAATTATTAATTTAAATAATTTAAAGTGACATATTACTTATTATTAATGGGAAATAATTTAAAATGGAGTACTCTAGATATTGATTTATACTGATACATGTACATGGATGGAATAATTATTCAGATTTATCATAACAAATTGTTATAATGTTGAAGAATGATTTATAGTGTCTTAGTTGTACTACAAAAATTGTATTACTCACTGCTGGTCCTGTTTTGCACAGGCCAGGTTCCGAACCTGAACTCTCCGAACCTGAACTCTCCGAACCGGAACTCTCCGAACCGGAACTCTCCGAAACGGAACTCTCCGAACCGGAACTCTCCGAACCGGAACTCTCCGAACCGGAACTCTCTGAAACTGAACTCTCCAAAACGGAACTCTCCGCAACTGGATTTTCAGACACTGGATGGCGAGCTAAGGCCTAGAGCCCAAATCAAACTAAGTGCAAGCATCTGCCTGTGCGGTAGGAGGCGTAGCAGCCGCTCAACCCACACACACACACTCACACACCCACTGCCCCCTGCTGTGGGCATTGGGCTCCTCATAAACTTTGCTGGAAATCACCCATTCACCATAACCATCTCCGGAACTATTTTTTTTCCTTTCACATGATCTCCGTGTGGAATACATAACATCTTGCTGTTGCTTATTATCAATCGGACTATGGACTATAACTCATTGAACTCTCCATAGCCTCTGAACTGAATCACATAACTGTGCACTCCTGTAAATATTGTATATATTGTCTGTTATACACTGTAAATAATAATATCACAGATAAGTACTACCACCTTGTGTACGTGTCTTATTAAACACCTCACTTCCCTCCGAGCCGAACCCAATCTTCTGATCTAGCCAGTTACCATTACTACTACTACTATACCTCCTCCTGTGGCATCGTATAAGTGCTACAACAGGCTGAACGTTTTACTCTCTTCTTATATCTTGTTCAGAAAAAACATATTGGTATTTAACAAAAAAATAAATAAATAAAAAAATCTTTCTGTGTAAATATCTAAAGTTACAACGTGGAGACCTGCAGCTTATCGACAAGTGCGTCCTGTGTATGTACATGTTTTTTTTTTCTTTTAAAATAAGTTTATATTCAGGTGCAGAAATGACAATAA